TGAGAGTTAAATTAATTGTAACACAGAACATGGTAAAGCTGACTCCTTGGTTTCTCTTGATCAGTTAAAAGATACTTTGCCAAATGTAGAATGGGTTTCTCCTGTTGTAAATTGGTATGCTACTGATATCAATTTAGGAAATTGTAAAGTATTACCAGGTGTAGAATTTAAAGATGAAAAGACAAAAATTTCTCCTGATGAATGGCAAGTTTCTAATTATAATCGGAACAATGCTCATCTAATTTTGCAAAAAAATAATCATCCGATTTATGGTGGCACAATAAATGATAAAAGTATAATTAGATATTTAGATGAACTAAATAATAAGGGTTATTTAATTATGTTTTATCCTATGATTTTAATAGATAGTTATGAAAAACCATGGAGGGGTAGAATGTATGTAAATAATGCAAAAGATATAGAGAATTTTTTTGATGGAGATAGTGGTTATAATAAATTTATTTTACATTATGCAAAGCTTGTAAAAGGGAAAGTAAAAGCATTTTTAATTGGTTCAGAAATGGTTGAGCTTACAAAGTTTAAAACTAATGATAATAAATTTTTGGTTGTTGATAAACTAATTGATTTGGCAAAACAGGTTAGGGTAATATTAGGTAAAGATGTGATGATTTCATATGCTGCAGATTGGAGTGAATATCACCATACTGATGGTGGATGGTATTTTTTAGATAAGCTATGGGCATCTGAATATATTGATTTTATAGGCATTGATGCATACTTTCCTTTAACAAGTGAAGATAAAACTACATATGATATAAATGAGATAATAGGTGGTTGGGAATCTGGTGAAGGATATGATTACTATATAGATGGTGATGGAAAGAAGCAGCCTTTAGATCAAGAATATGCATGGAAAAATATTAAGTGGTGGTGGGAGAATAAACATTATAATCCAGATGGCAGGCAGACAGAATGGATTCCTAAATCAAAGAAGATTTGGTTTACAGAAATAGGATTTCCATCAATTGATTGTGCTACAAATCAACCTAATGTTTTTTATGATCTAAGTACCTCCGAATCAAATATTCCAAAATATTCTAAGGGACAAGTTGATTTTCAGGCGCAGAAATTAGGTTTGCTTGCTACAGAAATGAAGTGGAAAGATTCTGAAATGATTGAAAATAAATTTGTCTGGGCATGGGATGCGAGACCTTATCCATATTTCCCTGATAAACTTGATGTTTGGGGAGATGGTGATTGCTGGAAAAAAGGACATTGGATTTAGGGAAAATTTTTCACACAAACTTAAATTGTATATTATTTGATATATGTAAAAGATTGAATCTAGATCAAGTTGATACTAGTCAAATAAACCATGATATCATTGGTTTTTGTATTCATGATAATTCAACAGCAAAGGAAGTAATTGATGATCTCAGTATATTATACTCATTTAAGGTGCAAGAACTTGAAGATCAATTAGTATATATTCCAAATAAAAATAGGGAAATACAACAGGTTGAAAGTGGTGATATTGTTATAGATATAGATAAATTACAAAGCTCGCTTTCAATTATCAAGTTGGGTGATGAGAATATTATATCCAATGTAAAGTTAAATTATATTTTGTTCGATCAAGATTATATTTTAACCAATACAAATTCTAAAAATTATCTGCTAGATAATGATAGTCAACTTCAAATTAGTTGCCAATT